GCAGGTTTGACATTCTTGGTTTCACCTTGGACTGCAGCCTTGTGTGAACCCAGGGGCGTCACAATATTGACCCTGAAAAGTTTTTCCTAAACCTATACTTTTAAAGAGAGTATGATATTTTTTACAAATTTTTAATTTTCTAGGGGTTGTTAGTAGTTTTATATATTCATTTTAGTGTCTATAAGTTAGAACTTCTCATGGTATTTGTTTTATAAATTATGAATTTTAGGGTTTTTTGTAATTTTTTAAATTTATAGGCATTTTCTATAGATTGTAAATTATAGACTATATATAATTCCTATATTTTTAATTTAATAATGAGTTTGAAATTCTCTGGGTGTTTTCTGTAAAATTCAAATTTTAAGGTTTTGTTTATAATTTTTAAAACTTTAAGGATTGTTTACTATAAATTATATAAATTATGTAAGGATGTTTGTAAAACCTATATTTTTAATGCTATTAGGTTGGAAATTATTAGGATTTTTATAATTTTTTGATTTTAAGGGGTTTTATTTTATAATTTGTAAAAGTTTAGAGTGTTTATTGTAAATTCTATAAATTTTTGGGAGTTATTTTTGTTCTTTGCAAGTTTTTAGTGTGTTTATAGGTTTGAAATTTCCAAGGTGTTTTCTATAAATTTTACATTTTGGGGGTGTTTTTTAATTTTAAAACTTACAAGATATTTTCTCCACAATAAAAAAACTTTCAGTTTCTAACTAGCATATGTTTTTCAAATTTCTCAATAAATTAAAATAAGTAAATTTTATAATTTAGAAGATGTTTTAATAAAATTTTAAATTTATAAGGGTGTTTTTGTAATTTAAAAAACCTAGAGAATATTTTTTTATAAAGTCCAAAAACTTTTAAGTACTGGCTAACATATATTGTTTAAATTTCTCTACGAACTAAAATAAACAAAGGATTTTAATTATATTAAACTTATCTCCTTTATTCAATAACATTAAGTCTCATTATGAATAAGATAAATTATTTAATTACCAATTCAAAGAAGATAGGATAATTACAATAGATTAAATAACAATATAATATTTAAAAAAGTTAAGGGTAATATTGACCATAAAAAGATTTTTCTAAACTCGTATAGGGAAGTATGATACATAGAAGAAATAGGTTTTGCTCTTGCTTGAGCTTTGATAAACATATCAAATTTCTGCGATAATCTAGGAACTCAGCAACATGTCCAAGAATAACAACACCTCTAGTAATAATTTATACATATGAACTATTATTACAATCGGACAGAAACTATAACATGATTTTTTGGAACAAAAAATATTTAGTGACCGTGCATTACTGAGTTTCCTTTATACTATTTTCCCTCCTCTGAAGTTTCTTTGGTTAACTGTAAGAATTTTCCTTCAGGCACCAAAATTGCACTGGCGCATAAACTCCATGTCATAATCTACATACTTTGTCCAGAGCGGTCGAAACTGGTTCATGCCAATATCCAACCATGGCTTCATATTGCCATTAAAATGCACAACAGCAGCATTCCTGATCTCTTCCATGCTTATGGTTGGATTATAACCAAGTCCAAGAACATGCCAAGATTTATCCAATGGCTTTGTTGTCGAGTAAAAGGTGATCAGTCCTGGTGGTAGTGTTCCCAACTTCCATAGTGTCCTGTTCTCGTTCTGAAACAATAAAGGCATGATTTTTTTTCAAAATAATGAAGATATCATATACTGCAGAAGCGAAACTTCAATAAAATAATATAAAAAGGAGTCAAGGAGAAAGTAGAGGTGCATCATGGTTCATCTCACAAGGAATTATGTTGCTGTCTTAGATACATCATGTAAGAATATCAAATAATGTAGAATCAAAGAGAGAACAATATTATGAAGATGTCCCAGCAGATGAACTGAGATATAGCTTAGTTATCATATTAGAATTTTCTATGTTACTGGCTCCTAGTCGTGTCAGGCAAAAATTTGGAATACTGCTGATCAAATTACAAATTATACACAAGCAATTAAAGTTAGCGGTTCTGCTGGGGCTAACAAAACCTTCTGAATGTCTCTCCTTGCTTTTGATCCATGGAAACCAATGTAGTTAAGCATCAACTGGGATCAGCTTTACTTTGACAGAGTCATTTTTACTAGTACTAGTTACAAAAAGGCACCTTCATCTATCTACAAAAGCCACCCTTTCAGTTGGATATGATTCTCATTTCAAAACTACGAACACAAGCTTCAGTTAGATCTGATTTCTATTTCAAAACAAAAATATGTTAGCAAGCATATCAATTAACTTATATGTTAGCAAGCATATCAACGAACTTCTCATCTTCTGTGTGATTTTTATACTGTTTAGGTGTTGTGGAAATCTAAAGAGGACATCATTAATTTGAAAGGGAAAAAAATTCAAATTATTGAACAAGATAGACCCGTCAAACAAGATAGATCCGTGTTTAGGGACATTTCAGCCCTTCCTACTTTACTTTTCACGACAAAAATGAGCAAGCATACACTTAAGAAAGCTCTTTCATAGTCATAGTCACAATCTATGATGCACGGACACGGATACGGGACACGGATACGACACGGACACGGATACGGGATACGGAAAAATCCAAAAAAATAGGATACGGAGATACGGCGAGGAATTTTTTTTCAAATTATTATTATATATAGAAAATTTTATAAAATTCAACTAACAATCTAAATTATGAATCTATCATAAATAACAAATTTGTAAACAAAAAGGAATTGGAGTACATACTCATTCTATCACAAAATAACAAGTTTGTAAACAATTAAGTATTTACATGTTTATAATTTATTAGTTAGCATGCAAATTACTATTTTAAGCTCTTTTTCTAATTATACTAATTAATAAGTGTCAAGACTGACTTTGTTTTTCTTTTTACAGATTATACTTAGAGTTAAAAGCAGCAATGAGCAAGGATGAAGGATCAATAAAAAATTCCAACACAATTCCCAAAATAAATATCTGTAATCCATTCATTAAATATGTATATTCATTTGTGTAATAATTCATTTGTGTAATAATTTATTGACTAACAAAATTATTGACTAACAAATAATTCATTTGTGTAATAATTTGTTGACTAACAAAATTATTGACTAACAAATAATTCATTGCCTAACAAATAATTCATTTGTATAATAATTTTTTGACTAACAAAATTATACTGCAGATTCATTTGTTGATATGAATTAAATGTTCAAACATTCCCAATGCTTAAAATATTCGAAGGTGTTGATATTTAAAACACAATAACGTTCATTGCAGATTCATTTGTATAGAAAATGGACAAAATTCTCAATGCTTACTAGACATATCAATGAAATTCATTTGTGTAATGTTAACAATTCATTTGTGTTAAGAAACTGAAATTGAAATTAAAAAATACTCATATGTTAGGAAATTAAAACTGAAATTGAAACTAAAATTGAAAAAAATAAATTATCAAATGAAGAATAGGATTGTAGATCTGTGACTTGCTCAGCAGTATCACGAAGCTGCATAAACAAAAAAAAAAGTTAGTTTTCTCAAAAAAAACAAAGATAAAGAGACTGATAGGGACGGAGAAGGTTAGTTTTCTCAAAAAAAAAAAAGATAAAGAGACTGATAGGGACGGAGAAGGGAAAAAGAGAGAGATGAAGAGATCGACAGAGAGGGAGACGAAAAGAGAGAGATGAAGAGATCGACAGAGAGACTCTGAGAGAGACGAACAGACGATTGAGAGAGAGACGAACAGAAAAGAGTGAGAAAGAATCAGAGAGAGAGAGAGACTCAGATCCAGAGAGAGAGACGAAGATCGAGAGAGAGAGAGAGAGAGAGAGACTGACCTGTGATTTTGAGGACGAGCGTCGAGGACGAGATCTTCGTCGAGCGTCGAGGTCGAGGACGAGGAGATCTTTCGTCGAGGTCGAGGTCGAGGTCGAGCGACGAGGTCGAGGAGCTCAGATTTGTGGCGGCGGCGTCGTCTTCAGGTAAGTGACGATAGGGTTTTGTGAAGATAGGGTTTAGCTCAGATTTGTGGCGGCGGCGTCTTCAGGTAAGTGAAGAGAGGGTTTTGTTTTGGGGGATTGGGTTTGGGTTTGGGGTTTACTTTTTTCCATCCGCTTTTTTTTTTCTTTGCATCAGCGTATCCCAGCCGTGTCCCATAACTGTTTGACCGTGTCCCCCAACATGTTGACCATTGACCCGTGTCGGACACGGATTGACCGTGTCCGACACGTGTCGTGCACGTGTCGTGCACGTATCCGTGTCCGATTCGTGTCGGACACGGATACGTGGCCTCTGGGGGTGAATCCGTGCTTCATAGGTCACAATTCAATGTATATAAAAGCAAAGAATGTCAAACAATTGTAAAAAGTAATAATCAAAGAGTAGAATTCACCTATAAAATCAAGGAATGAGAGGCATACCAGATTCTGCCAGTAATGGTATTGCTCTGTGCACTTCTCCTTCCTCCATGCATCAAGATCAAAGAAATTCATCCCATAAGCCCACCCACATGCCTTGGGGTTGAACTTCTCCTTGATCAAAGGATGTGAAAAGTTCATGTACTGTGCATATCTATGGAATGACCCAAAACAAGTCTCAACTGCACCATTCACTTTCCCATCCATATCAATCTCCCACAAACCGGTCAAATCTCTTTGCACAACAACATCATCATCCAAAAACAAAATCCTATGTAGCTTCGGGTACATCTCGGGTAAATAGAACCTTAAGTGATTAAGCATGGATAGATATTTTGGATTCCTAAATTTCATGTTTGTTGTATCTTTAGTAGCATTCTCAAGCTTGTTTTCAAAGTAGAACCTCTGTAGGTTTGCTGATTCAAGCTGGCGGAGCACGGGAACATAAGAAGAGTTCAAGAATGTATAATCTTCAAAGCATTTAACTTCAATATGGGCCCCATTGTAGTCTTTCAGTTTCAGTTTGAACATAACCTACAGAAAGTTGAAAGCTTAGTTAGAAAAATGCCGAAATACTTGGAAACCTAAGTACAAAGATATGACAAATGACCAAGATGTTAAGTGCTAATGTGAATGCCTTTATCAGACCTTTTTGTTCCAATACTTTAATAGACACTAATAGTATTAAGGACATAGTGAAATTCAAACAATGTAGTTAGAGGTTTTAAACTTTTAGTTAGATGAAAATGTCACTTAGCATTTCATACTAGGCATCACTAGAGTTAGGTGAAAAGTACAAAACTATATAATCACTAGAGTGAATTCACAATCATTAACCTATTTCACTTGGCTAATAATTTGATTAGTGTAAATTATTAGATATTTGCAGTCAGCACTAGGAAAAATATCTACAATCTTAGCCAATATTTTGATTTAATGTTACCACTATTGCTAATGGTTTAATTACTAACAATAAGTGCTAACATTTTAGTTTTCTCAAAGGATGAACTGTGAAAAACTCCTCGTGTTATATTAATATAACCTAGTTAATTCAAAAGCAAAGTTCATGCACCTAGAAAAAGAATGGAGAGTAGTGAACTAGTCATCTAAACATTGGAACTTGCAGCAAGGTTGTATAATGATTTTATGATGCTGCCATATGCAATTCTACAATATGAGGCCATGATGTGATAAACCATCTATTTGAAGTCCCGTGGCATGAGGGAAGAGGCAGTTAATAGGAAGAACAGAAAGAGAACGAGAGGGAGGGTCTTTCCATCATTGAAAGGGAATGGATAAGAGAGGAATGCAAAATCCTGATCAATGAAAGAAATATCATGTATTCTGTGAAGAAAAAAACTGTAGCGCCCAAAACTAGACAGAGATGAAAGTAGACAAAAATTGAGAGGCGAATTAGCTCAGATTGATGAACCACTAAGAAACTGATGCGTATAAAAGGTCGATACCGGCCATATCAACAGTTACTCATCAAAGAAAGCTGAGAAATCTTGGGAACGTACTAGAGATCATGGAACATAGGTGGGTAGTGATGGTAGGAAGAGGACTAAAAACAAATAGACTCCTTTCACATTCATCATCATCGCTGCTAAGAACAATGATAACAAGATTACCTCCTTTGATGACAATCTCAAGGACATATGTCAAGCATAATAATTTACTTCATAGAATGGGAGGGTGGACAGAGCAAAGCTAAAACCACCCATAAGAAAATGGTGAATGTCCTTCAGATATGAGATGCCCCAAATTTTAAGGATTTCTTTTTGCAAGCTTCAGCTAATTTAGAGTGATTTTATCTTTCAATCCTCCCCTCTGTAAAAAAGGTCCGGATTCGAAGTATGGAATTTGCCTTTTCAATCCATCACAGAATATAACTTTGCATCTCAAATCTCATGTAGCCCATATATATGAACCTACATTATCTTTAAAGTCTTACTGATTGCAAATTTGCAATACCCCACTCTATATCTTGTACTATAACAGACAATTTTTCTTCATAAATTGGCAATGCTAGTGGAGGTAAAACTTAACATTTTAGTTTAATTACCAGTACTTATTACTAAATTTATAATGATGCCTATCAATAAGATTAATGTGAAAATAAAATGAACTACAAACCTTAATTAAAGATTTAAAAAAAAACTAATGTCAATCGAGAATCATATAATTCACCTGCATTGCTCCAAGATTCATCCGATCAGTGACCACATGAAACACATGCTTCCACGGCTCCTTAGCGTTCTTCACTGCCGAATTCAAAACCACCGAAGCAGCAAGCACATTATCCGAAAATATAGCATAATGATACAGTTTTGGATCCTCTAACTCCGGTGGCGTCTCCTCTGGCTCCGAGTACTTCTCCGCCTTCTCGATCCTCTCCTCCATCAGCCTCATAGCCAAACAATGCAAGCTTTTAGGTATTGATTTCGCCGCAATCAAGCTCGAAAACGCCCCTTGCTTCTTAGCCTTCGTCAACTGCTCGTTCACCGCAAAGATCGTATCTTTAAGCTTCTGGATCTTCAGCTGGTTATCAAAAGAGTCCTTAGCTTCTGAAATCAGTAACCTAGTGGATCTGATCTGGTTCTTGACATCTCGTTCGAACTGGCGAAGCGCCTGCTCGTCAATGGGTCGGGTCGGATCTAGAAGTGACTTGTGATCCGATAGGAGGGAGGAGAAGTTTCGAGAAAGATCGGCAAAGAGGCGAACTTGCTTGGAGTTCTCGAGCTTTAGTTTTCGCGCGTAGGAGGCGTAGGCGGCGGCCACGGCGGCGTGATGGGGGACGTCGTCGGTTTTCGTGTCTGGATCCGGATCCGACTGCGATGAGAAGAAGAGGGGGAGGGTGAAGAAGGTGAGGGTTAGGGTTAGGAGGATTCGGGTCAGGATCCGACCCCTAATCGCCATGTAGATCTCTAGTCTGGGGAGGAGAGAGAGAATGAGGGAGTGAGGGTGAGGGAGAATGAGAATGGACTACGAATGAGGTTTTGTTATTGCAAAAGTGATTAGTGTTTTTAGTGGATGAGTAACAAACTAATGAAGACGAGGAACTGTTTAACTAGTGTGATCCAGTTAATGTAGACGAGGGACGAGTGACGGCGGTTTTAATAGACTTTAATAAATGATGGGCTTCCATTAGGAGCAGCGTGTTTTAGTCGAAGCGCTCCGCGGAGAACTGTAAGATGGAAAGCAGGGACGCGGAGTGGAGAGGCAACTGTGTTTGTTGACATTCGAGTCCTCTGGGTGAGGTCTTCAAGTGTCGGCAGGCAGGGAATGCTAATTTTAATTATCATATTGTTGCGAGGATTTTGATTCTTATATTAATAAATGAGGCTAATTTTAACGATAAGATATCTAATCTTTGTTTTTCAGAATGACAAATTCATTTAATAACCTCTGACTGTTTTGATGTATCTTATATGCAATGCTCATAGCCCCACCGGTAGTCTCATACTGGTTTCTTGATAACAATATCGATGGATTTAAGTAGTTAAGTCTTAAAATTCAAGTGCAATAACGACCAATCATTTTTTATGGCGCATTAGCCAAACAACAATACAATTAAACGGTGACATACTAGAAAGTTATAATGTTACACCCCGTGCGTCTCACAACTTACATTATACCGACGGGCTCGCAGACTCAAAGTATACACATATTCGAATTGGATAAGCACGTATATAAGTTTTTCTTACCAATACACATTGACATTTGTATCCATATTTGTGATAGTAAATAAACATGAATAAAGTAAGTATCACATCAGCGTCATATTCAAACCGTATTAGGTAAGTATGTGAAGTCAACCCGAATGCATTTAATTTTTCTCGAGTTAGTCCACGAAATCATTATTAGTAAACTTTACTATTCTATTCAACCATACTGATTATATGAAAACAAAAGGAGGAAAAAATTCCATGTGCACAAACTTCTATTATTTCCTTTTGAAGTTTTCACTGTTGGATAGCAGTATTCCTAATCTATTTGGATTCCTAATCTATTTTGGTAACATGAGGTTATTAGGATTCCTAATCTATTTTGGTAACATGAGGTTATTAGGATTCCTAATTTGTTTTGTTTTTGGTTTTAGGATTCCTAGTCTGTTTTGGTTTTAGTTTTTCTATATATATGGAGATTAGAATCAATCATAAAAAAGAGAGGAGAGTTGTAATAAGATATTAGAGAGACTTTTGAACATTGTGAGAGGGAGATATTGTGAGCAAGTTGAGAGCTTTGGTTGATGGTTAGTTTGTGAGTTCAATGAGATTGTAACCCTTTGTACTCTCCTTGATTTAGTGGAATCTCCTCATCCTCTCCCCGTGGACATAGGCAATTTGCCGAACCACGTAAAATTGGTTGTCTCGCTATTTGTATGATTTATAATAGCTTATTTAGGTTCCCTCGACAGGTCAGTCCTAGAACTGATGAGAGGAAGAGCTGATATCTCACTTGGTTGAGATATTTTACTTAAGGTTCTTGTTTCCTTTGTGAAACAAGAATTTTTATTACGACCTGACTCTCTTGTTGTGTTGCCAAAGTACTACCAAAATTTCGTTGCGCGCAACAAGTGGTATCAGAGCACTACAAGTGGTATCAGAGCCCAGATTTCAGATCTAGGGTTTTGGAATTAGATGGAGGAAGATTCTTATGTGAAGTTTGGTTCTTGGAGTTCTAGGCTTCGGTGGATATAGCATTAGGAGTTGTCGTTGGAGATTTCGCTTTCCTCGTATGGACAAGAGATCTATTTGGAACCCGATCTAAGGTTCAGTTGGGTAATTCTTAATTTCTATCAAAGTTTGATTTTTTCTCTTGGAGTTAGTCTGTAATGGGAGAAGAAGGTAAAAGCAGCAAGTCGATGGCGAGTACAGTTCAAGTTGGTTTTCAGAACACCAAAATTAGTGTGGTGAAGTATGATGGTAAAATCAACTTTGGTTTGTGGATGAACGACATCCAGGATGCTCTCAATGCTCAGAACTTGGAGGAGACAATCATGATCCACGAGAGACCACCAAAATATGAAGAGACGATATGAGAAAAGATGAATAAGAACGCTTGTAGGGTGATCAGGTCCTGTTTAGAACAGGAGCTGAAGTATGATGTGATTAGGGTGACGTCTGCGATGAAGATGTAGAAAATTCTCAACAATAAGTACCTTACGAAGAGGGTTGAGAACATGTTACATTTTCTGCGTAGGCTATTCAGATTACAGATGTCCAGAGGCACCTCGCTTGCGGCTCATGTGAACAACTATATGAAGTTGTTGTCGGACTTGACGAATGTTGATGAGAAGATTTCGGATGAGTACAAGGCTATTATCTTATTGGGCTCCTTACCGGATGAGGAGTATGACGCCTTTGTGCTCACTTTGTTAAACGAGAGATCTTCTATTAGCTACAATGAATTTACTAATGCTTTTACGAACTACGATTTGAGGAGGAAGGATAATGAGACTTCATGTGCTAGTACTTCAAGTGAGGCTTTGTCGACGAGAGGTAGAAGCTCATATCCGAAAGGTGGTAATAGAGGGAGGTCAAAGTCAAAAAGCCACCACTAATTAGCAAAAGAACCAATGCGCATTCTGCAAGGAGCAGGGACATTAGAAGAGAGACTGCCCGAAGCTTAAGGAGAAGGAGAATGGCAAGAAAAAGGGCCCGAAGGCCAATGAGGTGAATATTGCGAAAGCCTATGATTCCATGATTCGAGCTTTTCTCTATTGATTACTCCGGAGGTGAACCATACGGATGCATCAGATTGGATGCTTGATTTCGGTGCTACCTATCATGTGACCCCTAGGCGAGACTGGTTTGCATCTTTTGAGAAGCTCAATGGGGGAGTTGTAGTCATGGAAAATGATCAATCCTGTGGTATTTATGGGATAGGTATTGTGCGGATCCGGATGCACGATGGAGTAGTTCGTAAATTGAAGGAGGTGAGATTTGTTCCTCAGCTGAAGAAGAAGGATCCGGATGCACGATGGAGTAGTTCGTAAATTGAAGGAGGTGAGATTTGTTCCTCAGCTGAAGAAGAATCTTATCTCAGTTGGAGCTTTGGAGGCACCTCAGCTGAAGAAGAATCTTATCTCAGTTGGAGCTTTGGAGGCAAAAGGATTCAAGGTGACCTTTGAAGACGATGTAGCAAAGGTTACTAAGGGATCTTTAGTGGTGATGAAGGGAGTCCGTAATCGAAACTTGTATTATCTAAAGGGGAGCACCGAGATTTGATACGGGTGTATCTTCTCTTCGGGAGCTTAGCGATCCTCATGGGAGCTTGAGGATAGATGATTCTCATGGTATCTTGAGAATAGAGTAGAGGAGTCGTGGACGAGGTCATTGGAGGCGACGAAGTCGAAGGATTCGTCAAAACTGCAGGAAGTACAGTTGGACTCTGGCCGGTCGACCGGCTTGGTCACGGCGGTCGACCGCTAAGTGCACAGACCCAGACTATGTCTCGGGACTGAGAGCGGTCGACCGATGAAGGCTCTGCGGTCGACCGGAAATCAGCGGTCGACCGATGGTGGCGCTGTGGTCGACCGGAAACACTGTAATCGATTTTCCAGTTTTTCATCGTTCTGACCGGTCGATAATTATAACTCTTGTGTTCTTCAGTTGTTTTCTTCTTACCCACTCTTGATAATTCCGCGATCAAGAGTGCTCGCACGGCGACTCGTATCAAGTTGGTATCAGAGCACTAGATCCTGTGAAGGGGGGAACTGTGTATGGTCCTTACTCGCTCACAGTACAAGAAGCTTGGCGAGATCCTTAATTCCTCGGAGGGGTCCAGAAATTAAGGAAGGAGAAGATGTCTGAAGCAGATAATTCAACAAGACTTGATGCCATGGAGAAGCAGATTGAGACGATCGGGACGACTCTTACCCAACTCAGTTGGATGTGAAGACGATATTTCTTCATGGTGATCTTGATGAAAAAATATATATGAATCAGCCATTGGGATTCCGAGCTGCAGGGAAAGATAAGTTGGTTTGCAGGTTGAAGAAATCGCTATACGATTTGAAGCAGTCTCCTCGATAGTGGTATAGGCGATTCGATGGTTTTATGATTGGTCATTCGTACACTCGGAGCCAGTTTGATCTTTGCGTATATTTTCGCAAGTTGAAAGGAGGTACGTACATCTATTTATTACTTTATGTCGATGATATGTTGGTTGTCTCTATTTCCAGATATGCTTTAGATGAGTTGAAGGCACAGCTTTCAAAGAAGTTTAAAATAAAGGATTTGGGTAAGGCTAAACGCATTTTGGGGATGGAGATCGGCAGAGACAAGAAGAAGGGTAAAATTTGTTTGACACAGATGATTTATTTGAAGAAAGTTCTACAGCGGTTTCATGTTAGCATTGATACAAAGCCAGTTAGTGTATCATTGGGAGCCCATTTGAAGCTTTCAGCTGATCTTTCACCGAAGACAGTTGAAGATCAAGAGTTGATGTCGAAGACTCCATTTGCGAGCGCAGTTGGGAGCTTGATGTATGCGATGGTATGTACGAGATCAGATTTGTCACAGGCGGTGAGCATGGTTTTGAGATACATGCACGATCCAGGAGTTGGTCATTGGGACGCCGTGAGATGGATTTTGAGGTACATTCGAGGTACGCTCAATGTTGGTTTGGTTTTCGAGCGGGACACTACAGGTGGGCAGCTATGCATTGGTTATGTTGATTCAGATTATGCCAGGGATTTGGATAAATGTCGGTCTACGACGGGGTATGTGTTTAATTTGACCCGTATGCCGGTGTGTTGGAGATGCACCTTACAGTCGACGGTGGCTTTGTCTACAATGGAGGCAAAGTATATGGTGATTACGGAGGCTGTGAAGGAGGCTATTTGGCTTTGAGGACTTTTGGAGGAACTTGGTATATCACAGCGGTTCGTTACTATTCATTGTGATAGCATGAGTGTTATCTATTTGACGAAGAATCAGGTTTTTCATGCGAGGACGAAGTATATTGACGTTCGTTATCACTTCGTTTGAGATGTTCTTGAAGATGGCGATGTGGAGATTGTGAAAGTCCACACGAAAGATAATCCGGCAGATATGCTCACTAAGGTGGTTCCGAGCAACACGTTTGATCATTGTCGAAACTTATTGTACATTCATGATTGTTGAGACCGTTGACGGCCATTTAGATGAACTACGAGCGGCTTGATCCCTTGGGAGAGGGGGTACGTAGGTAACCACATTGGTGCAGCCGAATTTTGTGAGACGACGCATTGGTGCTCATGTTGATGTCGGCTCAGTTTTGGGAATACTTAGTCGAGATGGAGAATTGTTGGATAGCAGTATTCCTAATCTATTTTGGTAACATGAGGTTATTAGGATTCCTAATCTATTTTGGTAACATGAGGTTATTAGGATTCCTAATCTTTGGTGTCGGCTCAGTTTTGGGAATACTTCGCCGAGGTGGGGAATTGTTGGATAGCAGTATTCCTAATCTATTTTGGTAACATGAGGTTATTAGGATTCCTAATCTATTTTGGTAACATGAGGTTATTAGGATTCCTAATTTGTTTTGTTTTTGATTTTAGGATTCCTAGTCTTTTTTGGTTTTAGTTTTTCTATATATATGGAGATTAGAATCAATCATAAAAAAGAGAGGAGAGTTATAATAAGAGATTAGAGAGACTATTGAGCATTGTGAGAGGGAGATATTGTGAGCAAGTTGAGAGCTTTGGTTGAGGGTTAGTTTGTGAGTTCAATGAGATTGTAACCCTTTGTACTCTCCTTGATTTAGTGGAATCTCCCCATCCTCTCCCCGTGGACGTAGACAATTTGCCGAACCACGTAAAATTGGTTGTCTCGCTATTTGTGTGATTTGTAATAGCTTATTTAGGTTCCCTCGACAGGTCAGTCCTAGAACTGATGAGAGGAAGAGCTGATATCTCACTTGGTTGAGATATTTTTCTTAAGGTTCTTGCTTTCTTTATGAAATAGGAATTCCTATTGCGACCTGACTCTTTTGTTGTGCTGCCGAAGTGCTGCCGAAATTTCCGCTGCACGCAACATTCACTACATTTGGAAAGTGTAACTGATGACTCTAGCTCTTTCTCCTGCTCGTTCTAGTTCCGTACAATAAACTAAATTTTAATTTATAAACGTAATCAGTAAAATATGTTCGCTAATAAACCAAAGTTTATTTGATTTTATTCTTATCAGAACATGAAGATTACAGAGTTCATAATTCGCAACAATCTGACTGTAACACATTCACTGACTTATATAATTCATGCAGGCATCATGTTATATCTAGCAAAGAGGATACACAAAAACCATTTGTAACAGTAACAAAATGGATACGCATACTTTTAAGAGTTCCTTTTGCAAGTAATTCTCATCCAAATGCCTAGTGCTCAAGCAGGCTCAACATTCACCACAACAATAAATTTAGATTAATAAATAACAGAGTAAATATAATTTGCAAATTTCATTCAGTTACAAAATTGAAATCAACTGAACAAGAAAACCTTTTATAGACATGAGTTTATATATTTACCCATGTTTTAATTTGCTGCTTTCTACTTACATTGAAATTCAAGTTTCTACCTTATTTCTGCAAGTAGTTGTGCCATTCTTCACCCTTTTCTGCTCCTATTACTGCTTGAGCGACGAAACGAGCCAAATCCCTTGAAAGCCTTTGAAATCTTCTCTAAGTTAGGCCTCCCTACTCCCAAGTTCATCCTACCCGACGACAGTCTAAATGCCTGAAGACAACACAACCTTGACACGGATTCCTCTTCTTCCTCGTCGCCATCCTCTCCATCGATATAAGACTCTTTCTTTCCTTTCTTCCCTTTGCTCTTGGATTTGTTGGCTCCGTCAGCATCAGACTCGTAAGTCTCCCATAACAAATCCATCTGTTCAGCTCCCTCGGCTGTTGTTCTCTTTTCTTGTATCTTGAATGCCATTCTCTCCTCGTACAGCTTGCAAGCTAGTGTCCTCCTCCATTCTTTCTCCTTCCTCATCGAACCTTCTCTTTGTAGATCTTTGCTTCTAAGTGAAAGAGACTTGCTAAGATTTTCTTGCATTTTGCTCGGGCATCTTGACTTTGAAAGCTCATTTTTCTCAGAACTCTTTGGGCCTTCAACTTCAAAATTCGAACTAGAACATTCATAAAACTCGGCTGACATGCTCATTGATCGAGTCCTCATAGAACCACTCCTCGATAGGCTGTGAAAAGATTCGCCTCGTTTCTTCACTCTCCTCGCCAAAGGAGAATTCACAATAATTTCAGAGGTTCTGTCAGGCGTTTGAGGCACAAAGACTTCGTCTCCAGTACCTGAATTAGACTCCGAATTCTCGCTTCTTTCAGACTTCTCTGAGGAAAACTCAGCTGGTTCCTCCCTCATATCACATTTGGCACTAGAATTGCTCATTCTGTGGCTAGCATCATACTCTAAAAGCTTGTCTTTTTCAGAACTCTTCAATGAAAACTCGACTGGTTCTCTTGCGACTTCACAGTTGCCAACCTCGGCAATGGCATCTTCTGGCTCAAATCCACTGCCCTTCAAACTAACTCTTTCTCCACTAACAGAATTTGACTGCAAAGCATCAGTCTCTGCTGAATTTTCCACATTAACCTTAGATGGGCCTGCTTCTCCAACCTCACAGTTTAAACCCACATTATCGTAAAGCTCACCCATTGCCTCAACCTCCCACTCAAAGACATTGCCAACTGCCGAAACCACCAAAGTAGCCAATTGATCTAAAAGAGAAACTGTGACGTCTTCACCTTCAGTCAAGGAGTGAGGGGAGAAAAGCAGTAGGAAGATGGAGGTGGAGAGGAGAAGAGGGAAGAGGAAGGAGATGAGTTGGAGGATGTAAGGAGAGAAGTACAGGAGATAGGCCAAGTAAAGAGGTTGGGAGTAGAGGAAAATGGCAAAAGAGAGGAGATAATCATAGAAAAGAGTTAACCGGAGTTGGGTCATTGTCTTCCTTCTTCTTGCTCTCCTTCACAACTTTGTTTCTAGCTCTATTTGTTTGTGGTGGAGGAGGAAGAAGAAGAGAATTGAGAGGAGAAGACTTTCTGGTGCTGGAGAGAGTTTGACAGGGAGAGAATAGGCGTGAATTAGGGTGGCAAAGGTGGCAAAATTGGCGTGAATAAAGGTAGGATGGAAAGAAGAAGAAACATTATCAAGAGCACCTTTCAGAATTTTATTTTTTATAAACAAATTGCGTTCTTTCGCCTCTTTCATCTATCTTGAGATTTCTTGCATATATATGTGCACATAACCAAGGCATGATGTCCCTCACTCGGTAGTTTCAAGTGGGGTCCAGCCTACCAAAGGTAT